CTTCGATTATGCTTATCAACTTTCCATATTAAATCAGGGTAAGAATGAATAATCTCAGTGACAAATTCTGCAATTCCAAACTCTGCTGCAATAAATAATGGATCTGAAGGGCTTTTGAGTAAGTCAGTAAGTTTTTTGCCATCAAGCTGCAAAACTTGTTCCCAAACCAGCTTTAGTAATGCAAGTGCTTCTGCATGTAAACGCTTCTTGTCATAAACTGCCTCGATCCCTGGGACTACAATGGGAGATAACTCATACATTAAACTTATGTACATGGAACTAAAAATATATAATACACATGTATTACCCACATACCTATTAATTGTAATGTGAGGAGAAGTTTTCCGATTGAATGAAGAAACACTGAAAAATGGAAAACCCACCTTTTCGATTAATCTTCAATGGAGAAAATACTTAAATTGAACATGTCTAAAGGAAGGGAAAAAAAAAACCCTTATTGGGGGTAAAATGTTTCAATGAATTGAAGATCTTCTAGGTTCCAAAGCCTTTATGATGTCAACCTATATAGTGTTGATCTTGTAACCTTGAGCAATTTAAAAGGCAATTACTTTTTTGTATAAACTGAAAAAATTAGGCATTCTTTAGTCTTAGAAAGCTTTTCTAAATCTTAATTTTATAAATTCATTTACACATTTATGACTCTAAAACATGTGGTTGAAAATAAAAATGAGATATGAAAAATAATAGTAAAATTCCGACACGAGTTTGAAAACTTTGCAACTCATACCATTTTCATTTTTAATTCAGCAACTATATATTTTTGTCTATAAACATATGTAACTTTGTAAAATAAAATTTCAAAATAATTTTCTAAAACTATGATGGGGTTTAAATTTCCCTTTCTAAACAGATCATATCAAGGAAAAAGAAAAGGAAAAGATGTTATACATACAATCAAGAGAAAGAGACAGAGATAGAGGAAATAAATGGACCTTGATTGATTTTGAAAGTATGGTTCCCATATGTGCTTGGGCAGATAGACTTAACCACCGGTTCCACATATGTCCCTAAAAGTGGAATCAACAAACATAT